TTACAGCTAAGATTTGCAAGAAGTGCTCTTTACCCAAAACCTACCTCACCGGAGGAGATAAGGAAATAGCCAGAGCCGTTGGTCAACATCCCAATTCCTCAAGATTGAGGAATTATTAGAACTCAAGGGGGAGTGGAAACCATGCCCCAGAGGGTTAATGAGGTTGGAACTAGCAGAACATTCAAAGTCTGTTTTTCAGAGAACTGTTTCTCCCTGAGGAGCTATTGTGTCTTTTCAGACCCCACTGGCAAATCCACTAGCTGTCTCTGCAGAAGCCTGGACAACTGGTCAACTGGTATGGTTCCAGCCTAAGAAAAAGGAAGGCCCTGCATTCCTTACTAGAGATAAGGAGCTCAAGACCCCATCCAGTTTATATCAGCTCTTGGAGCATGCACATTGCTCCATCTTGTCCTAAGGTAACTTCCTGATGTCAGGAGCTGGATATTGCCTCGTTCTGGTGTTGTCTCCATCCCAAAGTGAACATGGGGTGTATATTACATATGTGTTTGCTCAGTATGCATGTTCCATCTTTCCTCATGAATAATCATAAGTTTCCCTGCCCCTTTCATCAATATGCATCTAATCTCCTACCCTGAATTTCCCCTTTATTTTTTTTTTTAAGATTTTATTTATTTATTTGACAAAGAGAGAGAGACAGCGAGAGAGGGAACATAGCAGGGGGAGTGGGAGAGGGAGAAGCAGGCTTCCCGCGGAGCAGAGAGCCTGATGCAGGGCTTGATCCCAGAGTCCTGGGATCGTGACCTGAGCCGAAAGCAGATGCTTAACCAACTGAGCCACCCAGGTGCCCCTGAATTTCCTCTTTAAAAATCCTGTTCCTTAACCCGGAACCTCGGAGATAGTCTTTGGACATCAGTCAGCTATCTCCCCAGGTTGCTGGCCTCCTGAATAAAGCACACTTTCCTTTCCAGCCAACAGTTGTCTCCTCTCTCAAATATTGGCTTTCAAGTGGTGAGCAGCTGAACTTGGATTTCGGTAACAAGGTCATCACTAACTTCTTCAGCTCAGACTATCAGCTCAGCTAACAGCATCACCTGCATTTTGACAGAGACTCAAAGGCAGGCAGAGGGGCGGGAAGGATCTATAGTGGGGAAAAGGGGAGGCTTCCTGGCGATACCAGGACACGATCAAGCATCTTATTTCCTGTTGGAACATCAAGAACCAATAACCAATAACCTGGTAACCTGTCCCAAACATGCTGAAGAAGGCTGACACTGATGTGTACTATTTCATGCTGGCTCACCAAGTCTGGCTACTCCAGACTTCGCAACTCCACCTTCTAAGAAGTCACACTGGGAGCTTGAAATTGGCCATGATGGGACTGTTTACACCATGGAGTCAGCCAATGTTACAAATCAAGGTTCTCCACCACCCCACCACCTCTCCCAGAGCTGGATGCTTAACACACAACCTAATTGCCTGGTGTTAATTTCTGTTTTATCTGGGACATCTCGATGACAAGAAACAGATACCTTTTAAGTTAGTTCATATGAAAGGGAGTTTGATTATAAGGGTGCAGATCTCAGAAATACCCACAACCTCAGCATGTGTAGCTTTAGGAAAATATGTTGTGAGTTCATGGACCTTCACCTTGGCGTGGAGCCATCAATCTGTCTGGCTAGCAGTTCCCCCCATCTCTGTATTTCTCGGTTCAAAATCTTGAGCGAGTGAGCTTGGTCCATGGACAATTCAGCCAGCAAGGATTGAGGGACGACAGGAGAATGGCACGGTACGGAACAGGGCACCAAGGCTGTGTGAATATGGGTTGAGATGGGGAGACAGTGATTGGTCTATCTCATTAGCATGGCTTTTGAGATGAGAATCTGGCCCCTATTTACCTCTTCAGCTTTAAGTCCCTATTCTCCACTTTGGATTCTGATCTCCAACAGTACAAAGGTACCCTCAGTTCCTGCTCGCAGTGCATGCTACCTCAAGTCTGCATCTTTGCAGATGCTGTCCTATCTCATCACAGGGATTCCTCTCAATGTCTGTCCCTTCCCTAAGCCTCAGCTGTATCCCTTCCTGATGGAGGCCTCCCAGATCACCTCTTTATGTATAACAACAGCTACATCACGTGAACCTATCACGTAGGATGCCCCACTTGCAATGAGCCCACATATAGCTTCCCCATGCCAACAGGGCACCCGTGAAGCCTCCCCTTTTCCCCACTATAGATCCTTCCCACCCCTCTGCCTGCCTTTGAATCTCTGTCAAAATGCAGGTGATGGTGGCTGACCGCCCCCACTGCAAAAAAAAAGAGTGAGCTCTGAATCAATAGCCTCTACTTCTCATTTGATTGGTCTTAATTTATTTCCACAGGTGGGAAAAGAGAGTTCAGGAATTGGACAAGCAGAGGGGCTGGAGGACAGTGGGAAGGGATGCAGCAGGAGAGAGTGGAGGAATGAAAGCCAGAAAAGGCAGGGCCATTGTAAAGGGCTGAAATATTCTTCTAAGTGAATGGGAAGCTACTGCAGAATTTTAAACAGATGGAGTGTTTCAATTTGATTTACATTTTAAGATCACTCTTGCTCTTGTGTGGGAAGGATGGGAGGACGGAAGGACGGGAGGACAGGAGGACAGAAGGAACTTGTCTTGCCTGCTGTAACGTTTCCCCTTCCTTCCAGCTGGAAAAGGCACACCAGAACACACCAATATTTATACCGGCATACATCAGGGTTTGCTCTAATTTTTTTTGAAAAGAGTAAATTATAAACTTAGGTACTTAAATTGATTATTTTGTAGTAAATCACAGGTGTTCAATTAGCTTCCGGTTGAGGCATGTGGTGTTGGGTAGGTACTTCCGTGTTTTAATCAGGGTCTTCAGGAAACAGCACCATGTGTCCGAAGATATGGTTCTCCGGCTCTGTGAACACCAGCAGGAGTTATTTTGGGTGGGCAGGACTTTTGGGACTTGGATTCCTGCTTGGTTGTAAATCCAGCCCTGGGGGTGTTTGTAACACTCAGAGGCCATATAAATCCCCTGCCCTATCTGGTTTCTGAGACAGTACCCCACAGTCCCCTAGACCTGATGAAGAGGTTTGTTTGTCTCCTGTTTCCTAAGAGAATAACATCTTAAGCCGTTGTCACGGAATTCTTTCAAGACAGCCTTTAAAGTACTCGTAGAATAAACAACTCTTGCTTTCTGTTTTATCTGGATACTCACTTAAGCATGAAAGGAAACTTGATTGGAAGTCCAGGCTCTGGATGGGAACAGTTCTTTGAAATTTAGATCCCTCAGCTGGTAGTTAAAGGGGTCGGGTTGCCTAACCTACATATCAGTTCTGACTTCTATGATGCTAATAATGTTGATGATGTTTATTGACCCTTCGCAGTGACCAGGTGCTAAGTGCGAGGCTTGTACTGACTCACGGACTCCTCTCAGCAACCCTTGGATGGAGAGAATGTTTTCACCTTCACTTTACAAATGAGGCCCTGAAGACAAAGAATCTGAAACCTCCAAGTTCACTTTGGAGAAATGGGATTCTCGTCCTGGCATCATGGGTCCAGAGCCTTGTTCTTCACCATGACACTTGACTGCCGACTTTAGGAGGTCATAACAGAAATGCGGAATAAGGCAATGAGGGAATAAAGATCACTTATCATTAACAAATAAGTAGCAAATATTTATTTTGCACAAGTATGTAACATTTTCTTTTATTTGGAATATATTTACCTAGCTTACAGACTTGAATTCTGCAAAGTTATTTTCTTAGCAGAACTCACTTCTTTAATAACAACAAAACTACGGGGCTATTAAAATTCCTTTTTTGCATGAGAATTTGATTATAGATAAAAAAAAATAACTAAATCTTAAAAAAAAAGTAATCTCTACACCCAACTTGGGGCTCGAACTCACAACCCCAAGATCAAGTGTCGCCCGCTCCACTGACTGAGCCAGCCAGCACCCCGGTTATAGATCATTTTGCTGGAAATATGTGAACTGTCAAGTTTGGCTTAGGCAGGTTTTCCTTCTTTGTTCTTTACATATAGTATTGATTGAGTATTGCTATCAGTTGTAGATGGGAGAAAAGCGAACTGAAATAAAACAAAGGCATTTATTGGGGTCTCAGGATTGCATCCATTGGACAGTTTGGGTATAGCACTGCTACGAACATGCATGCACAAGGCTTTGTCTGGACTTTCGGCCACCTTTGCTCTGGGCTCTAGAGAGCTTTCTGGATTAATTATTCCTGGTTCGCAGACTGAGCCTAGAATTCCACCCTGGTTCAGTCCATCTTGCGGAACAGGCAGGGCTGGCTATGGAGAGACAAAGTAGAACTATGGAAAACACTGGGGGTGATCTCCTGGACGCTGGATGTTTTCGTAGGCTGAATGTCCTGCTTTTTCTCTGCCTCTCAAACCGCTGCTCGTCTTTTCTATCTAGTCCCCATGTCACTTCTGATATGTTCTAAGCAGTGATCTTTTGGGTACAAGCCACTGGAGGAAAAAAAAAAGTATATCCTGAATACATTCCTGGGTACCTAAGAACAGGAGCTGTTGTAATAGCCAGGATTCCTGGTAACTACAAGGAAGGTGCTGAGAGCTCCCAGGACCCAGACGGACACTTTCGCGGACTTTCTCCCTTCGTTGCCAGTGTAGGGTTCCTGGATCCCACAATGACAGCAAAGAGGTCAGCCCCAAAAATCAAAGGCACAGGCAAGGCCTTATTGGGGCTACAGCTCGAAGCTGCAGAGAGACACAGCACTAATAAAATAAAGTTGACCCCAGGTGCAAACCTGACGTTCTGCTCATACAGAGAAAAGCTCCCGCCCAGGTTCCAGCTAGGGGTCCAATATGCTAATTAGGGAAAGGGGGAAAAAATGCCTCATCCTGATTGGCTGGAAGGGCCTCGTTCTGATTGGTCAGAAGGGTCTCGCCCTGATTGGTTGAGCCTGGCAGGCCACTCAGGCAGCTCATTGGTGGTTTTTGGAGCCGGGTCCTGCCTTTTAGGGCCGGCTTGTGCGTGAACTTGTCCGCAACCTGCTTCTGCTCTGCGGGGGGCGCGTTTTAGCGGGAGCGGCTTCCGGAGAGCGCCCCCGGTACCTGTTCCAGACACGTAATTATCTTTGTCTTTCTCGTTGTCTTCCCTCTGCCAGCTCATCAGTATTTTACACTTTATGTAGCTAGACTTTATTCACACGTTTCTGGAAATATTGGTAGAGTGAATTGTTATTGCTGTATCTCCCCTACATCCAACAAGTGGCCCTCAGCCCCCATTTTGGGGACAGCAGGCTGTGCTGGGGGCAGTGGCTTAAGGAAGACTTACCTAAGGGAGCCCACTTACCAGGCTTCTGGAACCACGCAGCAGGGAAGCCAGGAAAGTCTGGGTTGGCTTGGCGTTAGCTACCCAACCAACATTGAGTTAGGGGCTGCTTCTTTCCAAGCATGTGTTTTTATTTTATCTTTTTGCAGATTATCGACTTTTCTCATTTCTAGTTGTATTCTAGTACTTTTCCTAAATTTAATTTTTAGACTTGAGAGCATTATTTTGTTCTTACCCCATGTTCTGTCTTGGACTACTTTGCTTTTGACTATATGATTCTCCTTTTCAAGTTACGGTACTGATAACAAAGTTTCCTTTAAAAAATACATCTAAGGTTTTTAAAGTTTTTTTATTTTCTATTTTTTAAAATATTTTATTTTTTTATTTGACAGAGAGCAAGAGAGGGAACACAAGCAAGGGGAGTGGGAGAGGGAGAAGCAGGCTTCCCGC